TTAAAAAAGTATCATTATATGTGTATATATATATATATGTGTGTGTGTGTGTGTGTTTCTTCATAAATTTACATTAAAATAAAAATAAAAAAGCATTTTATACAATAAAAAGTCGTGTATATTTTAAACTATTCTGAAACTTGCAAACTTTATTGATATTTTAATTTTGTATATATGCATTCTGAATAATAAAGTGTACGAGAGAAGAGTTAGAGAGGGAGATGTATATATAAAAATCTAAGAAAATACGATAAAGAATATGTAACATAAGCATCAAGATTATACCTACCGACACGATTCTTTCATGCAGTTAGGATTCAGGCATCTAAACACCTTATCCTCGGGTGGTGGTATAGATGCAAAATGACAAAATGGGCATGATACCAAGCCCTCTAATCCAGCGGCCATTATTTCCGCTTCTTGCCGTTTGCAAAGAAGAATACTGAATTTTGTTGGCGGTAGTACTTGTTGAAGTACAGACAACGGGAACTCACTGCCGCAGCTTAATAAACAATCAACATGCGTCTTGCCGTTTGCTAATATTAATTCTGTACTTCTTACGATACACGAATTGCAAAAGATATGTCCATCCTCGCACGTAGAACATTTGGATGGCATACACTCGTTGTCAAAACAACATTGACATTCAATCAACTCGTTCCTTGCCTAAAAGAGAAAAATTTATATTTAATTACAGAAAATAATAATTTCTTTGAAAATGTTTTGCTTTTATTTTATTATATTTTCATACTTTGAGTTCCTGAAAGTCCTTCTGCTCTTTATCTTTCAATTCAGTCAGGTACATTCTAATTTCCACCCTATGCTGTATAAAAGCACATTCTTGCAAGAGCGGTATATCTTCTGTTAACATCATTTTGTTTTGAGGTCGTCTACTTTTCATATCAGGGCTCAATATTTCTAAAGCCTTAGCAGTTAGACTTAAATTATGTAAATGCTCACTGTATGTATTCAACAATGTGTTTACCTGTGAAAAAACATCATTTCAAATATTGTAAATTGAAACTTTTGCACATATCTAATATTATTATTATTATTTTATTGATGTTATTATATATATCTATGTAATATAAGATATATACTAAATTAAGTAATTACCCTGATTTTATTGAAATGTTGCTTCAAAAAATCCACTCCATGTGGATTAAACTTGCACTGTCTGGTCACATTTTCAAAATGTGAAAATGGATCTGGGAATAGCTCTAAAAATTGTTGTATTTTAAAATCTGTAGTATATTGTTTTTGTTGCTCCGTTATTTTCTTTTTAGCCAGATATTGCTCTCTTGTTGGAAAATCTGGATTTTCCAATTTTGATTGGACGAATTCTTTTATTTTCTCAGGATCTTGATACATCTCTTCGGCTACTTTTCTTAGATATATTGGATCTGCCTCTGGGAATATTCCTAATAAATCCGCATATTGTTCGTTTAGACTATAAGTATTGGAATTATTCATCAACGATGTTTTTGCCTTCTTCACAGTTGGATGTTTTTGGCCATTAACTAGCAAATGTTCAACTAAATTTTGCAACAATATTGATTCATCATATAATAGATTCTCATCTGTAAGATAATTTTTGCACAGTTGTTTAATATAAACTGTATCTACAGATGGAAACATGGGTATTAATTTGTAATACAGTTGAAGAGCTTTCTTGTTTAATACTATTTCTTGTTGGTCAGCATTACTCGCTGTGCTTATCTGCTTCTCCTTATTAGCATTTGGTTCCATGCCGAATGCTAACATAAAGTTCTAAATAGAAAAAATAATTAATCGATATATTTATTTGTATTAATAATAAAGATCTATATCTATTTTTTTTAAGCTGTAATGATAGACTGAAAACAACTGAACGAATGTATTGTGAATTTGACGAGAGTTTATAAAACGAGAATTTTTACGAAACGAGTTCGGGCAATTGAGATAATAAATACAAAAGATAAATATTACGAATTGATTTTCTTTTTTCTTCCGAGGTTTATCTTAGATCCTCTCTGATCATGATGGACATGTGCGGACATGTTTCTTGGACACGTGTATTAGGTATTTTCGGTATTTCGATAATTTCAATATTTTAACAATAAATGATTTTTCTACATTGGTATCTTTGCAAAATGATTAATTACGCCGTTATTTTATTTGTTTAAAATCGATTAAAAGCGTATATACGGAGTACGATTAGAGGGGAAAAAGAAAATTCAGTTTCCATATTTTGAATTTTTCAAACTAACCTAAACACACAAATACACCGAAAATACACGAATATATTGTATATAAATTATTATTTATATTTTACCTGTTTTTCTATTGCTGTATTGTAAACCTGAAGCGTATTTATATCGTCTTTCTGTCTTCTGTCGAAATTATTTTTTACTTCGACGATGTCTTTTCTTACACGAAAATTTAGATATTCGTTATTTTTTACTGCTCCACCTGATTGTGTACTAAGCAACGTATTGTGCTTTGTTAACTTGTTCAACAATTGGGCGGAAGATGGCATAGGTTTTCTCATTGGTACATTGGTGTTGGTGGTACGTTTCTCGGGAAATTTCATTTCTTCCGTTTTCGTATTCGACAGCGTTTTGTTCGGCGGAACTGGTTTGACAGACGAGTTCAACCAGGCGTGTACAAAATCTCTACGAAATGTATTATCGTACGCTGCTTCATGCATTTTTTCTTTATTTACCTCAGCTCTCATATTATTTGTAGTTTTTATTGCAGTATAATTACTGGTATCTCTTGTATTCATCAAACTTTGCAATGTATCTGTTACATGTCTTAATTTTGATGGTTTTAAAATAGGAACCGGATGTTTAGATGATGATACTGCTGACGGTGCCCCTGCTTTAAGAAATGTAAATCTCGCTGGTCTTAATACAGGCACAACAGGTTTCGGTATAACAATTCCTGGCATTCTCGACATAGCAATGTTTGGCACAGCAGTGCTTGGTACAGCAATGCTTGGCACAGCAGTGCTCGGCACAATAATGCTTTGCGCAGCAGTGCTTGGCACAACAATGCTTTGCAGAGCAGTGCTTGGCACAGCAGTGCTCGGCACAACAGTGCTCGGCGCAACAGTGCTCTGCAGTGCAGTGCTTGGCATAGCAGTGCTTGGCACAGCAGTGTTTGGCACAACAGTGCTCAGTGCAGCAGTGCTCGGCATAATAATACTTGGTACAACAGTACTCGGCATAGCAACACTTGGCATAGCAATTGGTATGGTTGTAGAGAGTATGTTTTTTATTTCCATCTGTGGCACTGCTGAATTCATAATCGATTGCAAGTCCTCGTTCTTTGAATTGTTTCCTGATGAATCTGATTTCTCCGACTCATGTACATCCTTACACACATTAACATCATTAGCGGATGTATCCAAACAAATCAACTTTGCTTCCGGTACCATATCAGTTTGTTGATTATTCGTGTTATTATCTGTATTATTCATAGCTGATGCATTCTCTGTTATATCTATTTCCATTTTTTCAGTCTCATTTTCTAATGACATAGACTCTTTATTTTTTAGTTCGACATCTACAGTTTTTATTTCATTCTTTGCATATATCTGTTCTTCCTTTTCTGAAACCATTTTTGTATCTCCATTGTTTTCTTGTGAAATACCAGAATTCTTTTTATTCTTTATAGAACGTATCTCATAGGGCATGCATTTTCGTTTATACGCTAATTGAGGACTTGGCCTCTCATCTGGTAACAAGTCCCACAATGTAAGCTCGATACGATTCTTTGCTAACTGATTATTACGGAGTGTTTTATAGATCAAACCATAATCGATATTTGGTAAAAGAGTATGAATCTGTTGTGTGTCTATCTGCAATTCATCAACATCGCAGGAATAGCAATATTCCTCGGGGCTTTCGGATCTATCGTCCAAATCCTTACTGCAACCTGGTTTTGGACTCTCTGAGACTCTAGTCTTGTCATAGGTAACACTCTTCATATAAATCACATCGTTATTATTATTCTCTTCTAAGAATTCTATTTCAGCCATGCTTTGATCTACATTGTCACGAGTTTGATCCAAGGTAGTGTCGAAAACGGAACAGGACGACGAGTGGGTGGCAGCAGTTGTATTGATAATCGAAACATCATCGTAGTTTCTAATGTAATCATAATAATAGTCTCTATCGTCCTCGGAATCCGAAACATCGATTGTTTCGCTACTTTTCGTGGAAGAATTGTGTACGTCGAGTTCAGGAGACTTCATAATATCATTCTGGCCTTCATACTCAGTCTTGATGGATAGTCCTGCCTCATCTGAAGATGTTTGAAAATCAAAATCTCGACTGCCCATAATCATGTTGATAATATATTCCGTCCTATCTATTTCGTGATTGGGATCTAAGCTCTCCAGAAGCTCGCATATCACGGTTTCGTCGACATCCTGTCCTTTGAGCGACAGACGCTTCTTTATATCTTTAGCCTCTTCACGAATAAGCTCGCGTATGATCCGACCCAGCATAGTTTTCCTCTGTACAATTGTTTACTTATTAAAAAAAAATTCGAATTTGTGATCATCAAATAAAAATGTCAACTTACGTATAAACGTGCACGAGGAATAAGTAAAAATTCACAAGCAATTCACGAAGGAATATTCACGAACACTTTGTTTTCTCCATAAGCCGCAAAACCAACGAGGTTTGTTCGACGCGTTATAAGTTACAACGAGTTATAACACAACGAGATTACTCCAAAAGAAAACACAAATGACAGATGACAGGTACAGACACAATAAGTTTGTCCTTTTTAACTAAAACTGAAACGGGATAAAATGAGGTAGATATACGTATATTTAGAGATTGAAAGGAAAGAGGAAAAACGAAAAAAAAAATGCAAGAAACTTCAAAGGAATAAATCTAGTGTCAATGCAATTGGCTATCGAATAGAGAATTCTTCAAGCACCGAAAATTTTCCTATTTCATAGCCAATCGTGTGACATTGTATGTTCCTTGCCAATGACACAAGTCTATCCAACCAATCAGATTCATGCATAGCTCCGTGACACAAAGAGAGGAATCGATTCTTAGAACACATGCGTACACACCTAGAATAAAAGCTTAGACTCTAGCAATCTTTTGATTGGTTCCGTCATTTTCGTTCTAAAAATTTTTGACCAATCAGCAAAAAGTCGCCAGTGTCTAGATTCTTACTAAATTGAAAATTGAGATTAAGCGTGATTTGATCCGATTGGCTCGTGTAATCTCGATGCTCCAGTACAGGAGATCCCAACAGAATTCATTCAATTTAAATCCTCCATATACTAATCCTTCTTATCCCATCGTATTTTTTCCTTATCGGCGATAAATGATCGTATGTATAAAAATTAAACTTACATAATAACTTCATAAAGTAATCACATAACGTCAAAAACACATTTGTAGTTCGCCTACGCATTTTACATAAGATAAATAGTATATTTATTTTCGTTTTCACAGATTGAGCAAATTTCGCATTTTGCGTGCGAGACGACGCTTCTCTACGTCGACGTGGGATATCCCCACCAGAATGGTATCAGCGAGTACCCACCGGCGACGACTTTCCGCTGACCGCCAGTTGTCAGTTTCGAATCGCGCGGCGATCAAACGCTCGACGGGATCTCGCCGAGAGCTTCTTTCCTTTTGATTTTTCCTTTATTCGTTGTGTCGCAACATGTTCGGAGGATGCGTGTTCATCTTCTGTCTACTGGCGGTTTTGCCGCCACGTGGGATTCACTGCGGTGACATGAATGTCACCGACGTCGCGGAGCGGACGGAGAACGCGCTGGCGAAGCTGGTGAAGATGTTCTCCAAACCGGGCGCGTTCAAGCAAGTAAGCCCCGAGATATGTCAACTCGGAGTTTTTATTTAGGAGCCGCAGATATTTTATTTCGAAAAAATATATATCTTTTTGTGTCATCCCTATAATAATAAAATTATATAATAATTCGAGATAGAAGACGAAATACTAAAGTAATATTATACTTTAATATACTCGCGGTTGACTCATTTCTCAAGTTACACAAGATGAGAAATCGCAAATACATTTGTTGTATTGTTACGTAAAAGCAACGGAAACATTCTGCCGAAATAAAATTGGGATTTCGTTCGCGGATCGAATTTATAATTCTGAATGAATCGTTTCGCACGTGATGCAATCGTCACGCGAGAAATAGACCATGATCCTCCTCATGATGTCTCCTACGTGCTGCACGTAATAATACGACAAATATATCTCGTAATACAAGTTACACATGTTACATGTCGAGTATACAAACAATATATAGAATCCTTCAATAATTATCGATTAATTTTTTAAATCGCAGAGTTTTCAGCCAAGTTTAAATCGATTAATTTTCTTTACAAAAATTGCCGAAGCAATGGATTTCGAATCTTAAACCATTTAAAAAAAATTTTTTAGTTATATAATATATATAACGCGTATAAATAATAAAATTATATATATTCTGTAATCTTAATCTCAAATGAATTTTGCTATAATTTTATACTGTAATTTACTATACGCTATTTTTATATTGATAAAAAGATTGAAATGCGTTTTGTAAAATGACGATAATCTTCTGGTAAAAAAAGTAATAAAAAAATTCTTGCATATACCATATTTCATCTTTAAAAAAACACCGTAAAACCTTCAGTTCAAAAATATTTTTTTTTCTGCACCCACGCAATATATATAAATATAACAGATATGATCTAAAATCTAAATATATAAAACTTAATATGCCTCGTCTCTCGTACGATATAACACTTGCGTTCACTTATTAGAAAGTGTCAAACTTTCCATGAGTTTTAAATTAGAAACAAAACGCGCGATAAAGAATTTAGAAACAAAAAAAAATCCCACGTAGGTACTCACGAATTAATTAGCGTTAGCGGTCGAAATGAGAGTTTCGAAATAACGGCAAGTGTTCGCGACGGAATTTCACGCTTAGATAGTGATACGATGACGAAATATTTTCAGATCGACGCGATACTCGGCGAGAATACTATCGAGGCGTCGTACACGAACTGTCCCATGGGCGAAGAGGGTCTGGAGTGTCGAAGGGCCGAGGCTCGTCGATCGGTCGACTGTCCCAGAGGTAAAAATCCTCATCGCCGAGATAGATGCAACATCCTGACCGCATTCCGTGATTCGCATGCGTCTAGCGAGCGCTTCCTCGCTATTATGAAAAATGTCGCTTATTCGCTCTTTAACAATAGAGATTCTGACCTTGACAATAGCCGCTCCCAGGTGACTATTATTGTGACTATTATGTTCGCAGCAGCGTTAATGTCGCGATGCAACGGGCGGTGTTAATACCACATCGCTTCCCATCCCTAAAAACAGTACACGAGAATATCATTAGGGTAACGTCATCTGCGGATCTATAGTTTATTTTAAAAATTAAAAATATTTTGTCGAGAGAGGAGAACTTGAATGGAAGAACGGTAGAATTAAGAATCTATCTCGTGCGACGATCTAATAATTGAGATAATTTGATATCGCAGAAAGGAGAGCGCGATAACTGTACGAGATTTAAACCTGCGTATCACGTTGCACCTTTCTCTACATAATGCGTTTAAATGAGGACGATTCAGCTGGTGCGGCGATCATTACACACACGCACATTACATCGTGAAATAACGTCGTTGCAACGACGTGGTATAAAATGATATTGCGGCAACAAATGTTGAGATCTTTTACAGAGTAGTAGTTTAATTAGAAAGTCTAATTATCATAACCAGCTGATACATTACATACATATATAAGCGTTTTAGAGTGATATGTAAAACTTCTATTTCAAGCAATCATAAGTTAATTTTATTTATTTGTAATATAATTTATATATATA